GATGAGGACGGGGAAGGGAGGTTGGGGGGACATGTTAAGTTAGTGGGGGTGAGTTGGTGCGGGTTGGTAGGTTTGGGGTAGAGGACGTTGATGTTGAGGGTGGTTCCAATGGTGAGAGGGAGGTAAGTTTGTTGCTGATTGGGGATGGAACGCCAAGACGTGGAAATTCAATTCAAACGTCGTCATTGTATTTACACCCCTCGATTTCAACCTCTGGGGTGTACCCCGCCATTCATCCCCTGCCAAGCGCAAAAGGGGCCCCGCAACACCAAGACCGCATCGTGACATCGTCACCACCATGACCAAAACGGCCGTGCCGTCCCGACACCCACGTGTTTTCTAAATCTACACGTCCTCTAAGCACACAGTCCTGTACCCATTCATCAACACGACAGAGAAAAACTGTATACCGGCTCGGCCGGCTGGCAGACCAACATCTAGCATCATCATTTGCAACAAAACTGTATCCAGCACGACTCGCCTGCTCATGCATATGTAGGTAAACACAAGCCATCCCGCCACTCTACTCCTTCACAGAACCTCCACCTTACCGCCCCTTGCTACCCTCCTCGGCCGCCAAATCCCGCTCCAGCATCTCAATCGCCGTCAGGCTCGGATATCGCTTCTGAAAGTCGCGGAGATAATCGTCTTTTTCCGCCGCCGTCATCTCCAAAACCGGCTGGCCCGGCAGGTCGGCAGCCATCAAGTTCGTCCTGGGCTTCGCGACGCTACTGCTGGGAAGCAAAGGCTTCAGCGGCGACGCCGGCCGGCCGGGAATAGACCCGCCACTGGTCAGGTTCTTGTTGAGGTGGGTAGGTTTCGGCGGAGCCATGGGCCGACTGCCTCCCGTGGCCATTCGGCCGGCGGCAAGGGGCTCGGCCAAGCTGTTGGGCGTGCGCTGGGAACTTCCCGTTGACTGCCCACCACTGCCGCCCAGGGGCTTCGGGGGAACCGCTGGTCGCGCGGGCAGCGCGGCATCCGAGTACGGACCGTAGCCCTGCGCCGTGCGAGTAACGGTCGAGGACCGGTTCGATTCGTCGAGGAGACTCTGCACCTTGTTCTGGATCGAGACAGCCCGCGAGACGCCGCCTATGCTCTTTGGCAACGGCGTGGCGCCGGTGCTGCTCGACCCGACAGGCCCGCGCTGGGCCACTCGCTGGCGATATTCCGCCTGCGCGGCCGCGACACGTGCCTCCTCCTGGGCCAGCATGCGCGCTTCCTGCTCACGTCGCATCTCTGGCGTGTCTTCGTATTCCCGCGCCATTCCGTCGTCGCTACGGCCGTCCGTGGCCTCGGACCCTGCGATGGGCGTGAGGTCGCGCCGGCCCAACTCCTTCAGAGGCGACGGTGTCCGCGGGGGAGGGGGTGCACTCCCCTCAAAGCGCTTGAAGGCGTCGCCAAACTTGCCGACCAGGATGTTCTTGGTCCCCGCACCTAGGGACGTTAGACTGGACCGTTTGTGGTGGTGGTGCTTCTTGTGTCCTTCTTTCCTCTTCGGATCGCTGTCCTCCATGGCGCGCAAAAAGTCTACATTCGACTCAATGTTGGTCTCCTCTTCGGGTCCGGGCTGAGGAAGATCTTTGTCCATGGAGAATCTCGGAGAGGGTTGAGCGGGAGGCACCTGTGGCTTGGAGTGCGCTTCCTTTTCGCGGAGGTAATCCAGGTTGGATTCGAGGTGGGTACTGACGGGCCTCGGTCGCGAGCTAAGTTGGTGCTTCGGGTTCCCAGGGTCCAACATATCCAGGTTCGGTCGTCCGCCCTCCAGCGACGGTCTCGAGGAAGATGGATGTCGCATAAGTGCCGGTTGTGCCTGAGCCTGCAGGGACGGCGTGCGCGACCCAGTTTGACCCCCACGCGCCACAAGGTTGCTGCTTGGCTCTGATTGCCGGGGTAGACTGGAAGTGCGGTGGCGATTCTCTGCCGGGGCGAACCTGTGTATTTGGTAAGGGGCGCCGGTATCGCTTTCGGGGGGAGGCGTTGTATTTGTCCCTGTAGATACCATGGTGGGCCTTTGCGCAGGCGGTGTATACACGGGCTGAGAGACCTGGGATGAGATGGCCTGGAGCTCAGGCATACTTGAGATGATGGCGGACGCACGGCTCATCTCAGCCTGCCTGGGAGGAGCTGAGGCCGACTTTAGCGGGGGAGAAACTCGAGGTACATCCTGCACATTGGTTGCCGGGACCCTCGGTCGGCTAACCTCTGGTTGTCGCTGGCTCACGACTGGGAGGGGTGGTGAGGCCGACGGTCGGACTTGGAAAGCATCGTCGGCGAGCCTCTCGGCGAGTCGCTGAGATAGGTCCTTCGTCGGCGCTGGGGCGGTTGGAGCGGTTGCGGCAGGCGGAGAGAGGGGGCTGTCGAATTCAAACTTGGAACCGTGATCATGAAGAATCGCAAACTGATCAAGCGTCGGGAACCTAGACGACAGCTCATCCCCACCCGGGACCGCAGCCTTAGAGTCCAGAGCGGCAAACGGGTCTCCATTTGTCACCTTGGCTGGGGACGGATTCTTCCGTGGCGGTTGCGATGCTGGTTGGGAGGCGACAGGCACTCTTCCTCGTCTCATGCGCTCAACCTCGGGCAAAGTGGGCTGTTGGTTAGCTATCTGGGGAGCAAAGACAGCGCCAACCACAGGAGCCACAGGTCCTTTGCTTGTCGACGTCGTTCCATGTCCCGTCCCTGATTTCCCCAAATAAATCTAACGAACCCGTTAGTCAAAGGCTTGTTTCTGCCATGTTCACAACACTCACATCCTTTACAGGTGGCTCCCTCCCTTGCATGGCACATGCCTCCTTTAGCACCTGGTAGATGTTTGGTCTTGTTCGCTGGTCCTCCCGCAACATGGAAGCTATGCGCCAGTCAGCACTCTTCCTGGACAAAGCTTCGGGTTTCTCACCTATCAACTTCTTTAGCCTGTCTGAGAAGACAGGCTGGGCAGGAAACTTGTAACTAGCGTTGAGGATGGCGAGCTGCCCTTGGTCCTCAAAGGGGGTGGTGTAGTAGCAGAGCTTGTAAAGCAAGACGCCGAGGGCCCAAATGTCCGACTTCTCGTCGATGGGCTGTTTCCGGTAGACATCAATCATCTCTGGACTCCGGTACTGCATGGTCGTGTGCTTCTGCACATCCTCGTCCATCAAGCGACACTCGACCACAGTCGTGGGAGCCGGGCGCGGTTCGGCTGCCGACCCAAAGTCGCACAGCTTGAACTTGCGGACGGAGCCACTGGTGGTGATCAGCACGTTCTCGACCTTGAGATCACGGTGCAGCAGGGGCGGCTTGAGGTAGTGCATGCAGGCGACACCTTCGGCGACGTCGGCAAATATGTTGAGGATCTCGGGCTCCGTCAGCCGGTGCTGCAAGCGGGTATTCATAAAGTCGATCAGGCCGCCGCCGTTGCAGTATTCCATCAGCAGAAAGACCTCGTAGCCCCCGCCACCGCCGCTCAGCTCCGAGGCGTGCGAGTCGATGTAGGTAACGATGGCCTTGTGGCCCTTGAGGCGCTTCATGGTCTCGACCTCGATGCGCATCCCCCGCAGCGCTTCCTTGTCTGGCACGGCCACGCGCTTCAGCACGGCCTGGTTGGTGCCGTTGATGGGCTCCGGCATCTTGACGAGGTAGACGTGCGCGAAGCCGCCCTCGGACAGGTATTTCTGAATGACGACCCGGTGGCTGCCGCACTGGATCTTGGTGCCCGGTGTAAAGGTGCCTGCGGGGGCGGCGGGGGCGGCCACGACCCCAGGGGCCGCATAGGCGGCTCCGTAGGCGGCATGGTGAGAGGCCCCCGCGGGCACCGCATGGCCGTACGAAGCCATGGGCGAGTCGGGGAAGTGCGACCGAAGGGGGGAATGTGGTATTATTATGTTCGCAGAGGGACGGTCGGGTATACGTTGCGACGAGAGAGGGAGGGGGTAGGCGGGGGGTATATGGTGAGCAGAGTCGGCGGGATTCGAGAGTTGACGTCGAGTCGAGACAGGGATAGGTGGACGGTTCGTTCCAAGTGGGATGGATTGTGGCAGAGTGCGACCTGTCACCTTGTTGGGAGCCAAAGTTGCCGATCAGGGCATCGAGAGGGGGGCAAGGCGGTGTCAAGGGCACTGCATGGCCAAAGGGTGGTGACAGGCCGATTGGCAACGAGAGCACTGGAATTAGGAGTTGACGACGGCGTGTGACGACAGGATCGTGGCGGTCCGTCGACGTTGGTCGTTTTGGTCAGCGCCGTTCAGGTACCAGCGAGCAGCGGATCGAGGTGGCTCGGGTGGATGGCGGCACCGCCGACGAGCATGGGGCCGCTGATGCGAAACACTGCAGCAGTGCCCGATTTCAGGTGGACGGCCGTCATCAGCTGGCAAACTTCCCCCACCATGATGGCCTCTCCTCTTGCTCACACGTCAGCATCACCATCAAATCGACCAGGCATCCATTTTGAGCATTTCCTTTTTGCCCCTAGTAGAATGTAGAAGTGCTGCCTGCGACTTGTAGTGAGCAGGCTCACAATGTCGTAGTTCGCTATGACCGAGTGTTAGCATACACATTGGTTTGCTTAACATCGTCCTCCTCCTCATCCCAGAGCTCCAGTGTTTGGCCTCCTGGATTTGATGTCTAAAGTTGTGTGTTGCACACGACAGATTTCTACCTAAAAAAGAGCTTGGCCTCATTCCCAATCATCCCAAACATTGAGGGGACTGTACATTCACCAAACTTACATGGGCGTACCACAAGAAAACGGAACCGCCACCCGGAAAGACCCTCCCGACCACTCCCTAACTACAGAAAAATGTCGAAATAGCCATAACAACTATCTGAATCTTGGGAAGATATGCACCTCCGCACTTGTCTCCCGTTGCCACGATCACAATTCACTGAAAAGACCCTTTCTCTTCAGGCTCCTGCCCGTCTCGCTGGTCGGGTGCAGTCGACATCACCATCTGCAACGACACGACTGGACACACCCCCGTTCGTCTTCGGCGGTGTTGCGGTGCTCAATGCATATCTGAAACAAAGCCCGCTTGGCTCAGTGGTAGAGCGTGTCACTAGTACCATCTCTTAGGTATTCTTATTCCATGACAAGGTCATCAGTTCGATTCTGATAGTGGGCAGCCTCTTTTTGGAAAAGGAGGATTTATCCTCCTTTTTGCACCTCATTGTTCAGTCAGGGGCGGCAGGACACCTGGCTGAAGGTGTCTTTTGGACGGCTTTCCGTTTGTTTCATTGCTTTGTGTGATGGTTTAGTTTTGGTCGCCATGTTTACAATCACGTCTTGATCCTTGAAAGGGCAAGTCAATTTGAGAAAGGATGAGATCGAGGACGGCCATGTGGAACTGTTATCTCGGGTGAAAGCTCTCTACCCCAGCTTCATTTCCTATATACAAACAGCCCCCTATTCTCAAGCAGTCTACCTGTCACGAATATATACAGCGAATACTCTCAGCGGCTCCCCACCCTCCGCCATACTACATCCATCAATCATATATCCCATCCACTACTATCCAAATAATCCCCGCCCGTGAGAGCATCACTCGCGTCCCTATTTCGAACCAGCTGCTTTTACTTTTTCGTCCAAACTGGAACAGAAACCATCCTGCATCTCCCACAAATATGCAACGTAGACATACATCCCACTGCCAAAGACACCAATCATCTCTCCACAATACTTCATCCCCAAAGAAGAAAAAAATAGTAGTCAGGAGTGACCCCGACCCGAAGAGAAGTAGACCCAGAGTATCCCACCCCTCCCCAAAAGCCAAAACAACCCCCTCTCGTCAAAACCTGACTGAGGGGATGGGTATCAAGCGCCAGATAATGATGATTACCAGAGAGAAAAAAAAAGCCAGGAAAAAGAAGCCCTTGCGATCGCCAGGCGAAAAAGTCGTCCAACTCGTGTGTCACGTACATGCCAAGAGCGTCGACCAAATCTCATAGGAACCACGGCATCAAAGCCACCGCCGCCGCACCCAGCACCGTCCACGATGGATATTGCCGCGTCCTCCACGCCGCGCTCTGGCGCAACTCCGCGACCAGCGTCTCGTTGACAAACGTTGGCCCGCATATCGAGTTGACCTGCTGGGCGGCCGAGACGTACGTGTTGGCGATGGGCTGGCGGCGGTTGGCCGTGGAGGCCTGGAAGACGTTCATGGTCTGCTGCAGGCAGGGGCTGCACGAGGGGACGGTGCTGCCGGGGAGCGTGATGTTGAGGGGCAGGTAGTAAAAGTAGACGTTGGAGGGGCTCGACATGTTGGTGATGGCGTTGGCGTAGCAATACATGGACGTCTGCGGGTCGATGAGGCAGCCGGCCGTGTAGAGCGGCGCGTAGCCCACCATGGCCAGGTAGGCGTTGCGCACGACGGGGTGGCCGGCGCGGTAGTCCATGCCGCAGTTCTCCTCGGCGACTAGCCTGGTGGCGAGGTCCGTGAGGAAGCGGCTGCAGAAGGTGGCGTTGGCGGCGCACGTGGCGTCGAGAACCTGCGTGGTGCTCACGAGGGAGCGCTCGGCTTCGAAAAAGGACTTGGAGCCCTGCAGGAGGAGGGAGAGGGGGTAGCATTGCTTAAAGATCGGATCCGTGAGAAACGAGTTGATGAAGAGCGGGCAGGGCGTCGAGTTGTCGGCGGCTTTGGAGAAGTTGGACGAGAGGTTGCTGTCGAGGGGGCTCGGCAGCGGGCTCGGCGGGGTGATGGATGTCGCGAGCGTCGTGGCCGACGTCGTCTCGGTCGCTGTCGACACGGCAATCTGGAGCGTTGTCGTGGGGGTGGCCTCCTCGGTCTCGTCGTGGTCACGCTTCCTGACCCTTCGCAGATCGGCCTCGTCCTTTGGCACCATAACCCATGACCCGTCGTTTTGCTGGTAGTTGACCCGTTGGTCGATGATGAGGGTTTCTTCTGGGGGGTGACTGTTTGTGGTCGCAGCCGTGGCATGGCATGCCAGAACTACGAGGATGGTGAGGGCGGCGGTCCACGGTGATCGACGTGTTCGGTGGAGCGATCTCTGGGGTTGCTGCGGCTGCGACTGCGGGGCGGTGGAGGGCGAGCCCATCATGATGCCGATCTTGGAGTCGGTTTGGGGTCAGTGTCGTGGTGGTGGCTGATTCCGTGGCAGCATTCCCTTCTCTCGACGCAGCGGTTGAAACGAGTGGCACGAGACAATCGTCTCTAGATGTTGTTTCTGGAGGCGGGTGGACTGTTGCTATTTTTGCAGGTCGTTGGTCTTCTCGAAGCCAGAGAGACGGCTTGGGTGCCGGGGCGTCTTGTCCAACTTGTTTCGACGCGGCAGAGGACTTATACGTGCCACGACAGGCAAACGGGCGGCATCCAGATTCCGGGGCCTGGCAATTGGGGAACCTAGCTGGTTCGGGCGGGAGACTCGGTCGAGGGCAGTGGCCAATATGGGCCGACGGGTAAATCAGGGGCAGCGCCGTGGGTCGAGGGAGCCCGATCCAATGGGACAGGCGTTTCCGAGAGGGAGAATTTGGGCGACAATGCCGTTTGCCTGCCTTTCGGTCGTTGATGGCAGGAGCAAAAAAACACAGTTGGGGATTCAGAGAGTGAGGCGCATAGCGTCTTCTTGAGAAAGTCACGACGCAACCCAGCCTGCACCTTGGCAGGGGTGGTGGCCGGGGTGCTCAGGGGACACAGCCAATGGACGGGCAACGGACGAGCCACTGCGAGGTGTGAGCGCAGCCCCAGCTGCAAAGGGAAGTTCTGCGGGGCCCGTCTATCGTGCGCCTTGCCTCGTTAGGCGCGTTGTGTTGAGGGCTTGGCAGAGGGTAGGGTTGCGTTCTCCGTTGACGGTTGACAATTGACATGCAGGCGGTGGGCTAGCAGCCGGAGCCAAGGCGTTATCCTCAATAGCCTCCCATGGCATCTCCAAACTCCCCGACGGAGCAGCCCGCCGGCGATAGTGCGGTGGACATGAAGAAAAGACTGGGCCAGATGCAAGTACGGCCAAGAAATTGAGGCCGGCCGATGACATTGATGAGACTACCTTAACCTGCGGTCTGATATTGATCTCGACGACAGTTCCTGGGATCTCTCATCTCTTCGTCTCTTCATCAACCTCCATAAACCGGTGGATTCAAGCAGGATTGCCGTGTAGCATCCGACAGGACATACCATCGCCCGCTCAATGCCACGGCACCACCACCACGACCTGGCCGAGCATTGAGCCACTCTCTCTCGAAAAAAATTGTCCGCGTAAGCGAAATACCTCCCAAGGCGACCGACAAACATCACCCGCCGGTATCCATACTCTCAACGGCCTCCTCTGAGCCTTGAATAGCAACCATCACCGCGGGCCGCCGGGACTCGGTAGTGCGGGCGTTGGTTGCACAAAAATAATGAACTCACACACATCACCAAATCTTGATCGGAAAACACCACCGCATCCACCAAAAAGGATTCAATAGATCATCTTTGCCCAGAAGGAACCAGCCGGATCGGCGCACCCGACAAAACCAAATGGCCACGCGGAGGAGCAGGCCAGCAGGGGCCCAGGCCGCTGGGCATTGATCAAGGATGTGGATCCTTCATCGATTGCATGTCGTCAGCTAGACCAAAAGAAATCGAAATGAGGCATCTCCACACGCGCCGGCGGGCGTTTGCTGGTTTGCCAATTGAGTGAATTTCCAAAATTCGACGACCCGTCATCCGACCCCATTGTTGGCGTCGTCGTCGCCCATGGAATGAACGATTCTGGTCTGCAACCTCCGTAATTCAGCGCACGAGATACTGATAGAAATAACAACCAGGAAGGAAACGGCGCGTGTCGTCCTCGACGCACGTGCAGTAGGGCTGAGTGATGGTGCCTGATGAGTGCGACCTTGCAATCATCCCCCGCTGCCGCCTCTTGCATCGGCCGGCGACGCAGGGCAGACGGGGCGGCTGACGGTATTGACCTCAATCCTTCCCCGCCGCCGTCCGTCGGCGATTTTGACGACGGATTCGGAGGGGGTGAGCAAGATACAAGTTCCCACCCAGCATGCGCGGAAAGCTTCGGTCTTCCGTGCTGACCTGACATACGAGAACATCATGCTCATTGTGAGGTTGCAGAGGTATGTGGGGAGGCAAACCATTGGCCCCCATCGCGCCAACACCACGACTCTCTCATTTCCAGTTTCGTTCGAGCCGCCGGCTGGGTTGACCACACCACCAACACATCTCGCGGGGCCACAATAACAATGACCCGTTTCCCATTTCCCAACGGGACGGTGGTGGTAAAAGTGGTGGTCGGCAGAGCCTTCCATACATGCAAACACATAGGTGTCTGTCTATACGGATACGACTTGCCATGACCGGCGACGGCCAAATTCCACGTTCCCGAATCCGCGATGCTTGGATAATGATGCTTCCTCTCCGCCATCAGATGTCCCATTCATTTCCCTTCCAACCGCCCCGAGAAGATTGCTGGCCGCTCGAGTCGCCAAGTCCAATGTTGAATCGCAAGTGCTTCGCAAGTTGTCATGCTGATAGGACAAGAAGATGGGTGGACGGCCCGAGACATTCCATCGATCGAGCCCCAGCCGTGTGCGAGTGAGGAGGCTCCCGTTTGTGTTAGACATTGGTCTGTCACCCACGTGCGTTCAAGACAGCCTTCCTCGCCTCCCGGGGGCGGTTTGAGGACTGGGAAATAGTGTCGTTTCGGGGTGAGTCTTGTATTTTCTCCAGGCCGAGCTGATGATAGCCGGGTCAAAAAAACACAGAGCAGGGAGAGACGGGGAGATAGAAAGAAACTCTTCTACATACCACTTACTACCTATTCTACATGCTGCAAACAACCTTGTTACCTCTCGGTGCCCCGAATATGCCCCTGAGCTAAGCTCAATCCGCCCGTATCCCGCAGGAACCATGACAGCAGTCTATATAAAGACAACATCATGCGTCTCAAACTTCAACTCGGTGGAAACTCATCTAGACGAGTCTCTGGAACAAGATCCCGCGAGTGCCTGCTTGAAATTAACAAAAGACTGGTCTCTGTCCTGTCGAATCCATCGAGCTTCCGGGGACGGGAAATGAGGAAAGGGGCGCAACCACACCCCAGTGTCGAGATTGACGAAGAGAAGAAAACAAGTGAAAACCCCAGTAACTCCCAAGATATGACGACGAGCTCC